GGGGAGAAGCGGCAGCTAAAGGAAACATGTCAAGGCAAAGCTGAAAACAGAGTGATGGAGAGGGAGCATGACGCTGGGTTTAGGTGGAGACAGACTGTCAGGTCTTTTTGTTCAGCTCAACCTGTCAACTAAAGACAAGAAAAAAAAAACTTAAAATGGTTCACTCAGAGAATGCCCAAAGCACACAATTGCACCCGACAGCCCTCGAGACTCGAGACCATTTCCGTGCGAGGAGTTTATTTCTCCCGCCCGCTATTTGTTTTATTAAATGGTTTTTACTCCTCTGCCTCGTGTTTCCTTTACATATTTCACTCAGCGTACGCCTTACTTACGCCTTACTTACTTACTTACTTACCTCAAGCCTCGTATTTATACCTCCACCTATTTTTCCGGAAAAAATAAATAAATAGATCTATTATGATGAAAGGCAGTCCACCTGTAAATGATCACATGCGCCATGTAAAAAAGAAAAAGGAAAGAAAAGGGTTTCAGTCAGCGCCATCACGCTGACAGCATATCAGTTTGGCTCAGGAACAATCCTGACTTGGAAATGATCAAGGTTAGATATGGAATAGAGACACAGGCAAACACTGGGAATGCAGAAGTGTGTGCACATACACACACATCTGGTAAAAATATATCCAGCCAGCAGATATCAGGCAAAAACATTTTTTTTTGTATTAAAATGGCAGACTTGCTTGCAGGCAAGAAAGTGCTGTAGGTTCTGGGACAGTAGCTGCCATTTTCTCTCAATTTTATTTCCTTTTCCCCTATTTTCAGTCCCCGTCCTTCTCTCCCTGGCCACCCATTATCACCGGGCAGCAGATGGTTTCCTCTGACTTGACAAAAACCATGCAGGAAAAGGAGGAGGCGAGCCAGATAAAAAAAAAAAAATTTTTTTTTGAGTTGAGCCAAACCATTCTGTGTTTGTTGTCATGCTGACTGGGGACGGGTTTGTGTTCCGTGCAACATCCTTGCATACGAACCAAACATCCAGAGTGTGTCTATTCAGAGTGCTTTATGAGAAATTATGCACAATCCTAAACAGTATGCATCTGTGGGAAGCACTTGAGCTGTCCTTCAACTAAAAACGACTTTATAATTCRAAGATTTTCTCTCTGATACTGGTTGTGTTTGTTTTGTGATGCATGAAATGCCTCGAATGACTTCGCAAAGCGAAAGAAAACATCTTCACAACTTCTGTCTTGTAAAAAATAACTGACATTTAGAAATATTTGGGCTATGATTTAAGCTTTTCATATTGTTATTTTTTATGTTTTAAGAAACAACTTAAGTAAATTATCCACTTTACTTTGCAAACAATAAAACAATAACAATATCAGTAGTGATATGTCCGATAGAACACTGATAATTAATATTATTGGATTATTATGAGTCTTTGTGATCTAAAATTTTATTACCAAATATCAACAGCATAAGGATGCACATTGTTTTGTCTGTACTACTTTTTACAAGCCCCTCTGCTTCTTTCCCACTAATCCCACCTGTGCTGTGGGCTTCATTAGTTTTCTGGTTACGCTGCCAGCCTCCATGTTTGAACTGCCTGACTTTTTGTTTGCCGCTCTGACACCAACCTCTCGTGGTGGCAGGTTTTAAAAGCTTTGTCTCACCATCAGCCGAGACAGCTCAATGTTCAGCCGAGCCATTTCTGCAGCCATTAAATGGCTGTTTGTGTCACGTTCACTCAGAAATGACTTTTCCATAGCCCTAAATGTTTGTTCAAAATTTTAAGGATGAGGCCGCTAAAGAAAAAAAAATCAGAACCGTGTTTTAGATGTGATGCAGACGTAGACTTATTTTGTACACCTGTTTCTGTTCAAAGGTCATTTTTGATTTGACCTCCAATATGACAAGATTAACTTTTACACTAGATCCTGAGTTGTTTTTGTTGGTAAATATTAATAATGTTGTTGTAATGTCTGTTATGTTC